TGTTAGGATTGTGAGGTTGGGGGCGGATGGGATTGGTTTGTTGTTTTGGGGAGTATTTGTTTTTTTTAGGTTAGTTGGGGATTTTTAGTGGAGTTGTTTTTACGATTTTTTTTTTAAGTTGTGTGTGTGAAGTGATGGGTTTTTAGGGTTTTTAGTTGTGGGGTTTGGGGTCGGTAGAAAAGAAAAGGAGAAGGGGCGGGGGGAGGGGAGGGAGGAGAGGAGGGAGGAGGGAGGGAGGGAGGAAGGAAAGGAAGAAAGAAAAGAGAAAGAAAAGAGAATATATAACAGGGTAACATGACATCATGTCAGAGAAGGTTTCCCTGAGCAAGTGATAAATGAGTTAATATATGTAGAGCTTCTAGAACAATGTCTAAAAGGGAATAGGTGCTCAATATACTTACTGGACAAATGAATGAATATTTAAGGCAAGACATTGAAGGATGAGGAACTATTCCTGTATTAGTCTGCTCAGGCTGCCATAACAAAATACCATAGACTGGGGGCTTAAACAACAGAAATTTATTTTCTCACAGCTCTGGAGCTGAAAAGTCCAAGATCAAGTTGTCATCAGAGCTGGCTCCTGGTGAGGCCTCTCTTCATATCTTGCAGACAGCCGCCCTCTCACTGCGTCCTCACATGACCTCATGTCCGTGTGTGTGCAGGGCGGCAGTGGGGGTGAGGGGTAGAGACAGAGAGAGAGCTCTGGATTCTCTTCTTCTAAGGGCACCAGTTCTGTCTGATTAGGGCTCTGCCCTTATGACTGTATTCGTTGACCTTTATTACCTTCCTATAGGGCCTATCTCCAGATACAGTCACGTTGGGGGTTAGGACTTTGACATATGAATTTAGAGGGGAGGGGGCACGATTCATTCCATACCAGTTCCAGACATAGTTAAAACCTCATGTGCAAAAACGCTGATGCAGGAAGGGCCATGACTTGGAAGCATTCAGGAAAAGCCAAAAGAATTTATTCTAAAAGAGAAAGGGGTGGCTGCAGACAGCAAGGCTGAGTGGACCATTATAAAGAGTTTGGTTTTCTCCTGCGTGTAAGGGAGCGACTGCAGGGTGTCAGAGCAAAGAGTAACAGGCTGGATTTTGAGTTTGGAAAGACCGCCCTGGCTGCATTGTGCAGAACGGATGGGAGGAGGCAGGAACGGTAGCAGGGGCTTGTCAAGAGGCTGTTACAGGCCGGGCGCAGTGGCTCACGCCTGTAATCCTAGCACTCTGGGAGACTGAGGCAGGAGGATCACTCAAAGTCAGGAGTTTGAAACCAGCCTGAGCAAGAGTGAGACCCCGTCTCTACTAAAAATAGAAACAAATTATCTGGACAACTAAAATTACATAGAGAAAATTTGCTGGGCACGGTGGTGCATGCCTGTAGTCCCAGCTACTTGGGAGGCTGAGGCAGGAGGATTGCTTGAGCCCAGGAGTTTAAAGTTGCTGTGATCTAGGATGATGCCACGACACTCTAGCCAGGGCAACAGAGTGAGACTCTGTCTCAAAAAAAAAAAAAAAAGAGGCTGTTATAGCAGGGCAGGGAAGAAACGATGGTGACTCCATCCAGAGTGTGGCTGTGGAGGTGCAGAGGACAGATCCACGTTACGTTCACGAGGCGGACTTAGCAGAGCTTGGCGCTGCCTGGGTGAGAGGGAGGAGGGAGAGAAGAGTTACCGAAGATGATCTCGTGTTACTCACAAGAGAGTTCAAGTTCATTACTTTCTGTTTCAGTCCCTCATCTGTAAAATGGGGAGAAAAGGGCTGTGTGAGGATTAAATGAGTTGTGTATTAGAAGCACTGAGAATAATGCCTGACCCATTGCTGTCATTATCATTATTATCGCTTTATCGTGTTGACAACTGTAAAAATGGTTTGCTTTTGTACTCATCAAGTATTATTAATTAACTTGATCTACTTGAAAAAGAATAATAACTTTTGCCCTCAACCCAATAGGGTTGAGCAACCAATAGGTTGCTTCTGGCATTGTAAAGCTCCCCACTCTCCCACCCCCTATCCCGGGGGTCCTTCTGCCTCTGTGATCTTGGAGACAATTCACCTCTCAGAGCCTTGGCTTCCTGATCCATAAAATGGGACAAAAGAATCCCTGTTGTGAAGAGTCACAGGTTAATTGTATCCTGTAAGGCACTGGAGTGACTAAATGGGGAGGCGGCGACGTGATACTTCTCCTCCGCGACACTAGAGGGCGACGTGCCCGGCTGCGGCCCTGCCGGCCCACGGCGGTGGCGCTCTGGCCCGCCGGGGTCTTTCTCCTCCACGTGGGGACGCAGGATGGCGGCGGCGGTGGCGGTGGTGGGTCTGCGTAAATGGGGGCCGGGGCGTCACGGCAGGGCGCTCGGGCCCGGGTCCCCGAGGCCGGAGGGAGGCGAAGCGGGGGCCTTCCGGACGGGCGGCGAGGGTGACACCCCGCCCGCTTGTTCGCGCAGGACGAGGCGGCGGCGCGCGACGTGCAGCGGCTGCTGGTGCAGTTCCAGGATGAGGGCGGGCAGCTGCTGGGCTCCCCGTTCGACGTGCCCGTGGACATCACCCCGGACAGGCTGCAGCTCGTGTGCAACGCGCTGCTGGCCCAGGTGAGCGGCCGGCCAGGGCTGCCCCGCATCCCCTCCCCCGGGGCGGGCGCGATGGGGGGTGGGGGTCCCCACCCGAGGGTCTGGAGGGTCTGCGGTTCGGGGTCCCCCCGCTACTCAGCGATAGTGATGCCCACCTGCCAGTGAGTCCTCACCTACCTGAGGGTCAGAAGATGAAGTCGTGGGAAAGCGCTTTACACGCCAATCGTCAGGGTCCTCCTGCAGAGAGAGGCTGCGTTTTGACGCATTGGGTGTAATATTTCATTGATTTCTTGTCACGGCCCCTTGAGATCATACTCATGAATATCCCCATTTTACAGTGTGGCCCAGAGGTACTAAATTATTTGCACGATGCTGCGCAGTAGGTAGTCGATTTGGGATTGGAAGCCAAATCTGTCAGACTCAATACCCAATGCTCTTAATCTACAAGCTAGTGTTTACAGAAGTGGTCTCCTTTGGGGTAGGGAAGGATGTTTAAAAATGCAGTTTTGCGCCCTACCCCAGATTTACTAAACCAAACTTTGAGGATGAGCTGGAAGTCCACATTTTTAACCAGCTTTTTGGATGCTTCTTACACAAATACAGCATAGTGTAGTGGTTTCAAAAAACACTGCATGATGCTGTGTGCTAACCTTGATCCCAGACCTTATAACCTGGATTGGTCATTAGCAATAGGACATTGAACTAATTACTTAGTTGCTCTTAGCCTCTGCTTTTTAAACTATCATCCGGGAATATTATGTCTACTTCTCAGGTGGTCGTGAGATTCAGATAAAGAATTTCAAAGTGCTGTGTAAATGTCCTACAATTGCTACAAGAATTAAAAAGGTCTTGCTCAATGGGAACTGTTGGGGGTATCCTAAGCAGGGTGGCTGGAAAGAAAGAAATTCCACTTTCACAACTGAGTGGGAAGTGTACCAGGGCAGAGGTAGCCCTGCACATCCTTCGATGAGGGTTGCCTTTACCATTGCCCTATAGGAGGATCCCCTGCCCTGGCGTTCTATGTCCATGATGCTGAGATCACCTCCTCACTTGGGAAGACACTGGAGTCCCAGGCAGTGGAGAGACAGAGAGGTCCTAGACATCATCTACCAGCCACAGGCTATCTTCAGGGTCCGGGCTGTGACCCGCTGCACCAGCTCCTTGGAGGTCACAGCGAGGCGGTCATCTCTGTGGCCTTCAGCCCCACAGGAAAGTAAGGACAGCTGCAGAATCT